TTTAATAATAATAAAAAAATAATAAAGCTACACAGCTTTTTATAAAAGTAACCCCCAAATCTAAATTTTAAAAAAGTAGCTACTCAACAAAAAACTGGACTGGCTAGCAAAACTGGAAAGCTTTTCTTCAAAGGCCAAAAGCTTACTGTATACCCTTCCAGGTGATCAGACACTTCATATACTTCAATTGCTAAAAGTAGGCAGTGTAATAAGAGGATTAAAAAAAAGAAGGGAAAAAAGAACCTGGATTACAAAATAGACTCAGATGTCTGTGTTTTTAATGGCACAAAACCAACAAATTAGTTTCCTCTTCGATGGAAGTTGCTTGTACCACCCATGGCTGGCCTGGTTATTGACACACTTATGTGTGAGCCCTTGGGCGCTTTCTGGTTACGTGGGAACTCGCAGCACGAACAGGGTTAACATTTTAAGGGCGGCGTGTTGTGTGTGTGCGTGCGTTGGGGGGTTGCAGGAGGGTGTTTGTGGAAGGCTGAGGTCACTACAGACCCCGTCCCTGCCTGGGGCCAGGCAGGCGGTGCTGGGTGCTCAGTGCCCACCCGCCCTGCCCCCGGGCCGCTTTACAGATGCTCAGGAGCCGTGATCAGGAGAAAAGTTTCCACCTGCAGAGCAACTCCGACAATCACAGCAGGGGCTCGGAAAACAGACTGCAGTCTAGGCCCCCTCTGCCCCGCCTCCCCTCCTAGTACAGGAGGGGACACGGAAGGCATGGGAGCCAGTCCTCTGCCCTCAGTGAGAGCCCCCGTGCCAGCCACCCTGTTTCACATTAGAAGGGGAGCGCTCCACTCTTTGCGCCCCCTCAGTCCTCCTCCTGCCCTGCCCTGGAAACCAAGGAACAAGCAAACTCCGGAGAGCCGCAGCCAGCACGCACACATCCAGGGGTGTTGGGAACCACCCTGCCTGGTTTCAGAAACTGTAACCCCTCATGGCTAAGGCTGAGTAAAAGACCTTGGGACCATAAGCCACTAAGGAGACAACGCTTATCTCCCTGGCAGGCGTGCTGCCTCTGCCCCCTTTCACCTCCCCCTGCTTGGCCCTGGGCAGATGACTGATTAGCCAATGATGGGTAAGATTCCTCAAGGGAGGGACGACCTAAGACAGGCATGGTCACTAGGAGTCTCTTAGGGAAGGCCTTGGGGGGCTATAGAAAAAGGGGGTGATGGACCCCCACCCCTAGGCTTTGACGTAGCCTGAGTCCTCATTCTGTCTGCGAGAAGTCTCCTAATCTCTTGGCTGCCTTACTTCCCCTGCCTGACTTAAGCCGTAAACAATGACAGAGGGTGGTACAGCCCTATGCTGGAAAGGGCAGGTTCCCCGGGCAATCAGGCCTAAGAAGGCCTGAGAATGCATAAAATCCTGTGAAACCTGCTTTGCTAATACCCTCAATTTAAATGATAAGGGTCCAAGCATGAAATGAGTTTGTTCCCCAAAGTTTTATGGCCCTTTATCTGACCTTGACCCAAAATAAACTGTCAGTGTTCTTTGAATGTTATTGTTTGATCATCACTGACAATGATTGATGAGCTTTACGTATACACCCTGTATTCCTATGCAAATAAACCCAATAAAAGCCCATTGAGGAAAAGGCTTCCTGGTCCTTCTTGAGACTGGCCACCTTTCCTCCCCAAGCAGATCACATCTTGGTAGATTTATTCTCACCCCTGGCGGACGAGGGGGCACTGCGGGCGGACCCCCCCACCACAGGGGTGCTCCACCAGTGTGGAGAATCGGACAAGAACCTGCTCGTCAACAGGGCGCTGATGACCACTTGGGAGTTTGATGCAAATATCAAAGAAATAACGCTTGTGAGGACATGGCAACAAGGAGGGCTTATTGAGTTCCAGGGAGGTCTCCAAGAGCCTTCGTGACATAAGGAGGGGCAAGTGGATGGGGGGGGGGGACACAGCTTCTCTTGTCCTGACTAAAAGGGGAAGGGCTGCAGGTGGGAAAGGCCAAGCAAATGCAGCTTCTCCCAGCAAACACGAGGGACAGGTCTCAGGCGGGCAGGTGTCAGACAGAAGAACCAGCACGCCTCCTGCTCTCACACGCCGCCCCCTCGGTGTGGCGCACCTGTCGTCTTCTCTGGAAGGAAAAGCAAAGCCTCCCCCCTTGCGCGGTTTACCTGGCCTCGGCACTCCCCCAGCGGTGAAGTGCTGCCCTCCTTTCACACCTGCCCCCACAAGGAGACGCGCAGTAGTGCTCCACTCCGGGGATGTACAGCCCCGCTGCCTTTCGTCACTGCCACAGGCCACCCACCCGATTTTTCACTGCTGTATTTATGACTACTTGAAATTTTAAATATTTATTTGGTTATTGATGTTCCGCCACATCCAACCAACCGACCGACCAAACACACGCACACACACAGAGTGAGTACTCGGTACTCGTGAAGGTCATTATTCCCCGTTTCATCAACCACACTGAACACAGGATCGCTGGTAAGCTGTGCTTTAATTTCTGCAATCAGGTATGATGCAGTGAGATACGAGTATAAACTTTCATTGTACATCCAGAAAATAAAAAGCACATTTACAAAGATTTAGCCCAACAGCTTATTCCATTAAAAAAAAAAGGTTTAAATGTACTTAAAGCTAATTTATCTTCAGTGTAAAAACTTGGAGGTATAAACAAACTCAAGACATTATATACAGTAAGTTAACGTACATTTCCAAACTTGCACAGTGCAGCATTTTAAACAAAGAAAATGGTCTCGTTTCAGCTTTAACTGTTAAGCATAACCCACATTTCAGTTTTGAATAAAAATGTCACAATATATAAACCCACTGAGAATTCTGTACACAAATACAAGTTTATAGAAATCTGATTTCAAATATAAATACATAAATTGTCATGACCTTCCCATGTTATAACAGCTTATTTTTCTATTGCAATTTTTTTAAATCATAGAAAAATATTTCAATGCACATTCAACTGCTATGACAAGGGCCATGACCTTGTGTCTTTAAACCATCATTGTGAAGTGTAAAGCATCACACTGGGCATTTCTGGAATGAAAATTACTAAGACCCTAAGACTGAAGAGGCCACTGTGTAAATCACTCACATTACAATGTGGTAACAAAAATAGTCAGTTCCATAGTGTGCTTGGGGCAGCTAGGGCAGAGAAGCGGAGGTGAGTGCTAGTTCAAGAAGGCCCACAGAGAACATGTGAAGGTAGCTAGGGAACTGGTGTTTTTCCAAAATCCCTATGGCAAGCCTAACACCAACCTCCCTCGTGAGAATCTTAAGGCAACCGAGACTAGACATGTGCTTGGCCCCAATCTGTGACCCCCGCCCTCCCCTCGACCTCTGGCCATCCGGACAGACGACTGCATGTGTGTCGCCATGCAGTGGGAGAACGGCAAAGCAGTTTCTGGTGTATACAAGAGACGATTCAGTGCAAACCCAAGAAACTCTTCTTTGTCAATAGTTTTAAAACTTCTTATTGCCCTTGAGCAACTGAAAGCTTTTCTAAACATGTAATATTTAAACTAGGATCTATAGCAGAGAGCAGATGTATATATACGAAAGGCAAATATTCCATTTGAAACATTCTAACATTAGATTCCCCCCCTTCCTTTAGTGGGATTTAATACAGTCCCACTGAGAATGAAAAAACTGGTCCTTCTACAGTGTGCTTTCCTGCATTTAAAAACACAGACCATCCAGACAGCAGATGCAAGGTTATCAGACGCAGTTAAGTTTCTCCTATGGCTTTTTAAATTGCTGAGGTACTACATGATAGCCATCACTTCGGACACTTATGTTTAACTGCTCCCCTGTGAAAGCCACATTCAGAAACGATCCTCATTAGTCTGTCAGGTGACAGAGAGTGTGGGAAACCATTGGACGGGCTCTTGCAGGGGACCACGGTCCCAAATGCTCCGAGGCCTCAGCATGCTGCTAGAAAAAGGCAAAACAATTACAGGGGTACCTCGGTACTCGTCAGCCTCGGAACTCGTCAAGGCCGGTACTCGTCGATTGATGGGAAGGAATGTTTCCTCACTCAGCGCTTGCTCGGCACTCATCACACTTGCCGGACCTCGAGTGAGTCACGATGTCACCCCGCAAGAGAAAATGCTCCGTCCATCATCCCTCGCTCACCACCCCTCGGGATGAATTAACGACGAGTACTGAGGTACACGGTACTTGCAAACAGGGAGAGCCTCCAGAAGAATGAAAGCTCCTCTTGGCCGACCAAAGAGAGCTCTGCAGTTAAAACTGCGGATTTCAAAGCAAGACTCTGGGGCCATATGCACCGGGGTGGGGGGGGCCTAGCATGGAGGGAAGGTGGCGAGAGGGCTGGAGCAGGCAGGGAGGGACCCGGAGGCATCGGCCCACGAAAAAGAGTGGCGTGGTTGGCTCGTCAGCACCCCTGCAAAGCGACCCAGTCGATGCAGGAGGGAGGGTGGTCAGAAGCGTCAGGATGGGTGACACGGGTGGGATTTCTCCAGCTCTTCTACAGGCGAGAGGACGCAGAAAGGAAAAGTGCTGTGGTTTGTCTAAGCAAATGCCACACATCTCAACGCCGCTACCTGAATCTCCACTCGCCATGCACACATCACATAAAGCCGAACTTGCTGCGAGCTGAGGCAGGCTAGAGAGACACCGACTGTTCCCAGGGACTGGATACGTCATCCTGGCACAGAAGGGATCTGAAGAAAGAGTTGAGTCCAAGAATATCTTACTAAAGCCCTTTTTAGTAGTAAACCAGCTACTGCAGATTCCGTATAACACTTAACCATCAGATAAGAGCTGCAATTCTATCATGGGTCAAGTAGTAATTCCTTCCAATGAATAATACTAGAGACATGGTTTTAATTGCATAGTCTTTCAGGACCGTTAAAAAAAAAATGAGTGCCAGCTCTTCTCCGGAAGGCCCAGGTTTCCTCCTACAGAGCTCCGGGCCAGCGGCCGTCTCCCCCACCAGCAAGCGCCAGCGTGACACACCAGTCCGGAGGTCAGTGTGCTGGCCGCCGGTCCCAGTCTTCAAAATGCCAACCACTCTCACCACCACTGAGCAGGGGGGTCACACATCCCCTAGATCCACAAACTCATCTTCCCGTTTGGCCAGATCTTCCTCGTCTCCCAAAGCTTTCCAGCCACTGGTGGGCAAGACGGGCTTCGAGGACGGCCGCTGCAGCAAAGCAAAAGGAAACAAAGAGGACAGGCGGACAGAGTTCCTCAGCCGGGAGGGGGACTCTGCCTGGGGGGCCTCCTGGTGGTGGTGTCCCTCGTTGATTTTTTCCTGTAGGCTCTGTACTTCCTCCATCATTTCCAAGAGTTTGCTCATGGTGGCCACCGTGCCACCGCCCAGAATTTGGGCTTCTGGAATCCAACGCAAGTAGCGCTGGGCCCAGACCCTGATTTCGGGCCCCTCGATGTGAGGCAGCAACAGACCGTGGTAGTCGGTGGGCTTGCTGTGCCAGCTATCATAGAACTCTCGAAAGGTGTCTTGCAGCTCATCAGAAGAATTGATCAGTTTGCTAATTCTCTTGCCCAGAAGGTTTTTAATTAAATGATCTGTTTCTTCCCTGAGAAATCCTCTTTTGGGAGATGACTTAGATTGGGTGAGTGGCAAAGAAAGCTGTCGTTGATGCTTGGAGAGAAAATACAAATAAAAAATCGCTGGTTAGCCTGACAACATAGGTACCGTTGTGCCCACCAAAGAAAGGGGCATAATCCTGCGTTTACAAGTCTTGAGCCATCAGAATTGCTATGTAAATGCAAACTCATTAAAATGCTATAACACACAGAGAGAGCAGGGCTTCTTGTCTAGTTCGTGATGCAGCTGTGAGCTGTGCCACGTACACACACGAGCGGGGGAAACCAGGTGATCCGCAGCAGCGCCGAAAGGGAAGCTGCGACACGCGGGGAAGCTGCCCACCGCCTTCTGCACTGTCACAGGGGCCGAAGGGCACTGGGTACTTATGAAGAACAAGTTTAACTTAAGACAGGGTGACAATTTAGGGGAGTTTGGGTGCGATGTCTACTCATTTTATGTAAGGAACAAAATGTTTCCTTTCTGAGAATCCTGAGCTTCCGTGGTGTTCTGAACACCTGCCAGGAAGCAGTGCTGACCACCTGAAGACCCTACCCCTCCAGTGAAATAACCTTGGAGGTCAGCAGGCGTCCAGGAGGAGTTCAAGCCTAAGTCGGAAAGTTCGCTTGGACAGCGAGGCAGAGGGGGCAGGAGCACTCTAGCAACTGACGAAACTGGCCAGAGGTTCCTGCCGGACAAGCTGCAAGGAGGAGACCACATGAGAGCGTTCACAGGGTTCCTGCTCCTTGGCAACAGCGGCCAGGAGGCCATGGGGGATCTCTAGTGGCCAGAGGACAAGGTAGGAAAGGGGGAAGCTGTTTCTCCCCGACTCTTTTGCCCTTGAAGTATCCATTTGAAGTAAGAACAGACAAAAGTTGTAGTCTCAGGCTAGACTTAAAACGACTCTCTAACCTATTTCTGTGAGTGGTCTTCCTTGCAAAAAGGTTTTCTTTACTATAAAGGAAATATTTCCTTATAAAATATGGGATAACAATTAAAAGAAGAAAGCTAAACCACCCACAAAACCCCAACTCAGAGCTGACGGGGATTTCTGACTTTCCAGCCAGGGACCGAGAGCCGAGGGCGGGGAGCCAGTGGCCGGCCTCTCCCCTCCCCACGACCAGGGGAGTACGAGTGGGTGGGAAGTAAGGAAGGTGGGTGGGACCTAACAGCAGCTCAGTGTTTGCTGACTGCCGCCAGGCTCGGTGCTCAGCGGCTTGTATGCCACGACTTACTCAGTCCTCGGAGTCACTATTAGCGCCCCACCTTACGCGTGAGGAAACCAAGGCACAGAGGTTAAATAACAAGGCAAGGCCTCAGATACCGAATGCCACAGGTGGTTCCACTCACGGACAGTCCGGCTCCAGAGTGTGGGCTCCTAACAGAACTCTCCTTGTCCTGAAAGCCCCTTCCCTCCGTCCCCTAAGTCAGTGATTTTCAACTGGCACGCCGCAGGAATTTTGAAACATGCGGTACCTGGCTATATAGTAGAGGGCACTGACCTCTTTTTCCTTAGACTGTTGAATAAAAAAGAAAATGACAACAGCCAACACAACAATAGCCATTTGGTTTGAATGAATCAAAAGTATACCTATTTTCTGTCCAAATGGCAAAAAATACATGTTTTCGGTGTGCTGCAGAGTCTCTGTCTGCGTGAGAGGGAAAGGCTGGGAACGCTGCCCGAAGTGAACAGAGTGTTCAGGGTGAGCGGGGCGGGAACGGCGCCACACGCCTGGACCCTGGGCAGGGCTGAGGCTGCAGCCAAGGTCCCTCGCCGGAGCAGGCCCCTGGCCTCCCGCAGGCACTCACAGCGCAGCACTTCCCGCCACAGCCTCTTCAGTCCCTACGGAGCTCCTCCAAGGCCGTCCCTCCACTCAGCGAGGGGCTCCAAGCCCGACACCTGATCTCCTAACCCAAACGCTTCAGAGTTCCCAGGTGCCCCAGCCCCAGTGCACCTCATCTATTACAGTCTGAGACTGGCCAACCCTTTGGCTCAAACCCCTCCCACCAGTCAGCTCCTGGAGGCTAGGCTATCTGCCCCGACTTACAGGGAGAAGGGGACACTTAAAAAACTCAATCTGGGCAGAGAAATGCAATCCAGTCTCACAAGACAGAGCTTTAGCTTCATCTGGTGCAAAAATAAGCGTTAGGCCTTGCCACCTCTGAGGCCCCTCACCGGCTGGCCTGGGGCAGCTGGGGGATCCTAACCAGGCCATCACGAGAAGTGTGCATGCAGCCACCAGGGGGCAGAGTGCATGAAGGAAAACTGACCTCTGGCCAAGCTGTTCCGGAGCTCGGGGAGTTCTGGTCCAGCTGGCGGGAAAGAGGTTAAATCTGTTGGGGAACATCCACCCTGGGCTTGAGGACCACCTTCCAAAGGGCAAAGCAGCAGCTCTAAGTTGGCAGACGGCACCTCTGTGAGCTCTGGCTTTGGCTCACCCAGGTCCCCGAGCCTCTTTGGAATGCAGCCGCCGCCCGCACCACAGCCAGCCAGGCTTCCTGGAGAGCCCCGTGGGCAGGCGGGACCAGAAGCACGGCCTGGCCAGGGGAAGGCAGGGACGAGCCCTGACCTGGGATCTGCCTTCCCGCTCTTCCCTTCGTGGGGTCTGTGGGGGAGAAATCCCGGGCCGGGGCACAGAGCCAGGAAACGCCATGTAAATCACGTATCTAGGGAACTCTGGGATTTAACTAACCAGGAAAGTCAGGAACAAATACATGAAACCCAAATAACTTGACACTTGAAGCTGACAGCTCAGGGCCAAACCTGGGCTGGGCCCGTATTTGTAAATATTGGAACACAGCCACGCCCACCTTCTCAGGGGTGGTCTGTGGCTGCTTTTGTGCTATGACAATGGGGGGGGGCGGGGAGCTGTACCAGTGACGGGAACGTTTTAGGTGCATCTCATGCAGAAAGGTCTAGCCGTTGGAGACACGAACTGGCGCACAGGAAAGCCCCCGCAATCACGGCCCTCTGCTCCCCCAGCCACATGCCCAGGCAGATGCACGGCTCCACGCGACACACACTTTCTGGCAGCAGCGTCCCCAGTGGCGCTCAGCACACGGACACGTCTCATCGGGGCAAAGCATGATTTGCGGAAAGCCGGGGATTCTCTCGGACCCGGACAGTTTGCCTGCCACAGATCTCAACCCCGCAGGCTGCTTCCGGAATCCGTCTGCGACTCTCAGCCTTTCACACATGGGGGGAAGGTGGAGGGGGGAAGCACGTGGACATCTTACTTTGAAGCGCGTTCCTTTCCGCTGGCCTTTGTCCAATTTCGGCTTTTCCACGTACAGAGGGTTTCTGAGCAGCGTCTGGGCTTTGGGTTCAAACTGCACAGACCAGTCCCACACGGTGAGCAGGCTCAAAGGCTTGCCTTGTGCATCCGGGCCTTCCCTGCCCTGCCAAGACAAGCACAGGTCACACCGGCCTCCGGGGGGCCGAGGAGAGCAAACACAGGCCTCAGAGACAGGCACCGGGGAGGCGCTGCTGCACCCGCCCAAGGACTACGCACAGCGCTTCACTTTCACAGGCCTGCTCGCCAGGCTCGGGCGGGGGAGGGGGGAGGGGAGAAGGACACATCCTTTTCCAGCCGGTCCCCTGCCAGCCAGTCTTGGGCACTTCCACAACCCCCTGTGAAGTGACTACTATTTTTGCAGTTTTACATCTGAGGAAACTGAGGCTCAGGAAACTGGAGTGAGCTGTCTGAAGGAAGCTGGTGGGCGGCAGGGCAGGGACCTGACACCGGGGCCGTGTGCCCGAAAGCCCAGAGTCTATGCTTCCCACTCCGCGTGGGATTTGGCAAACTCCCTCCCAGAAGGCCGGCTCGGGCCACCCTGCAGAAGGCCGGCAGAGCGCCAGGCTGGTGAGAGCTGAGCCCCCGGCCGGGCCAGCAGCGAGGTCCGAGGGGGGCGCAGTGCCGGCCTGGCCTCCCTGCTCCGCCCCATCGCCGCTCCCCTCAGAGTCACCCCGCACATCAGGCGAGCGGAAGAGGAGGCGTCAGGCCTGACCGCCTTTACAAAGGGCATTTTAACCCTGTTCAGTCCCCCAACTCCAACATTTGCCCCCGCTCCAGTATCCACGGTGTGACCGAGGGCAGGGTACCCGTCCTGAGCAGCGACTCCCGAGGGGCTATAGCAACAACACAGACCCGCAGGTGCTGTGAGGGCTAAACACCAACACCGGGAAGCACTCCAAACAGGGCCTCGTGCATCAGCACTGCTAAACCACTTTTCACTTTTTATTATCAACCTCGTTGCATCCTGCCTGCGGGACACAGCTTCTTCAACACACGGGTTCCTAAGAGGGACTCCTACTTACCATGTTCGTTTCTTTCTGATGAGGCGAATTGAAGAAGAAGGTGCTAAAAATGGGTATGTACAGGCTATCTGACAAAACGGTCAGGTAGGTCTCCGTGAACTCAAATGCTGGGGGGTGCTGGTGCACCAGCTGCCAGACACAGTCCAAGAAGAGCAGGAACACAGGCACCTACGTGAAAACAAAATACGCGTTACTGGGCGGGCACTCAGGGTCCAATGCCAGCTGCCCTGAGCTCGGGGCAGCCACCTCGCCGCTGCGGGACAACTGCGGCTGCGCACGGCGGTCTCGGGACACCACAGCCAACTCTGCTCCACTCCGAGCAGCGAGTGTGCTCGACCGGAACCATGTGCTCACAGATTAGCACCCATGTTCAGCAGTAGCCACCCATGCGACGCTTCAACGGTAAACTGTGTAAAACCTCACTGCCAACCCAAACAGCACTAACAGATGAGCACTGCCGCTGACTGTGGTCGGAAACACTAACGTTGAACCCCAATAAACTAAAATGTTATTTCCCTTCAAAGAATTCCATTCTTCTTGTAAGTCAATTTTATTACCAAAAAAAACGACACTTGATTATTTTGAATTTTGTTAATACCCACTTCTCCACCCCCAAAATGAGAGCCCAGAAGACAAGAGGACAGGAGAGAAGGCACATGCAGCAAAAACAAATTTTCTAGTATTTTTCACAAATGTACTTTTTAACTGCTGGCCCCCTGTAGAGCCTACCGCGAGACAAGCCATATGTTAGTACAGATGGCAGTTTTCCAGGGGCTCTGTCACTCACAGAGTTTATCTCTGAGCCACGGGTGACCCTGCGGGCGACAGCCTCTCCTTCACAGAGGTGGCCCAGGCCTCCCCCGCGGCTCACAGGGGACGTGGGTCTGGAATCCAGCTCCTGCACCCAAGTCCAGTGCCGCATCACTTACATCACAACACAGGCCACCACGTTTTCCTCCAGACCTCTACTATGTCCACGTGGACGCTAGGAAACGTTTACATTGCAATTCTACTTCATACCTCATTTTATGCTCCATCCCATTAAAGAGAGAGTGAAAAATACCTGAACCGCTTTGTGCGGTCGGGCAAGTGGGCTGGGAAAGCGAGGGAGACTTCCCCAGGGGCTGGCTGAACAGCGGCTCAGAAGCTCCCAGCCTTTTCCCCTTTAGACGTGATGCCTGCCAGTCCCATGACCTCAGATAGGAAAACACACTCTTCCCCACACACTCAGCAGCTCTCCCTGCCCATCATGTTGCTGGAGTTCGTAAGCTTTCCCACTGACTTCTCAGAAAGGAAAAGTCCAGTCCCTGAACGGCAGACGGTGATTCCCGTTCAGCGCAGGGAGGTACGGAGGAGCACAGGTCAGGCCTGAAGGGAGTCTCCCAGGAGCACGCCAGGGCTGTAAGGGCAAGAGCCACGGCTCTCGAGTCCCACGGCACGTGTGTCAGGCCATTCAGCACTGCAGATAGACATGCTTACTATCTGCAGTAAGAAGAACCACGCATCACGCTACTAGCATATGGGAGCTCTGCAGGCGATTTAATTACAGACGGTGCTGTTTTCATTTTTCCTTCTGCAATCATTAACCATCCAGTCCAAGGAGCCTGTACAGCTGCAGCCGAGACAAGCAGAACACCACGATGTGGGGGCTCGTTCTCAGCAACCAACTGCAATGCGAACACCGCGGTGCCCAACCTCAGAGGGAGGCCTGGGCCCAGAGCAGCTCACGGCGCCAGAGGCAGAGGAGGCCTCGCACACGCTCACGGACACAGCACAAGGGCCCTGGTGGCAGGCGACACTAACGTCCCCTATGCTTTAGTTTGAAAAGGTTTATGTGCAAGGAAAAGTCATTTTATGTCATGTATTTTCCACAGAAAAACTGTATCCTGAATATCCATTTTTTGTTTGCAAAGACTAACTAAGCAGAAATTATAAGAGTCTCTCCCACTGAGTTAGTTTTTATTTAAGTTTTACAAATCAATATTGCTCCCACCATGAAATAGATGTACACCTTTGGTGTACACAGTTAAGAAGAAAACATTCTGAACACACCTGCTAATATTCTTTCCTCTGGGAAGGGTTTCAACATTGTTTAAAGTCTCAAAGCCACCGAACAGCGAACAGATCACAGCCTTCCTACTGAGACTGCACAGTGTGCACTTCGCAAGCACTGCCCCTACACGGGGAGACAGGAATTAAGAGGCCGGGCCCTTCTCCCCACGACCCGCACTGCCTGCGATGAGGACACTCACCTCCTCCTTGTCGCTCTGGCGGAGATGGTTGCAGCGGTCCAGGAAGCAGTGCCCGCCCATGACCCACTCCTTCTGGATGAGGCTCTGGAAGCCAGCGCTGGTTCTGCAGTGGGGGTCCATCATCACTTGCACCAGGGAGGAGACGAGGCAGCAGAGGTCGGAAGCGTTCTCCTCTGGGAGGGGCCCGGGAGCAGCACAGAGAGGAAGGAGGACATGAAATGGTCAACACCCACAAAGCGCACTCACGCTGGCACAGCCAACAGCAGGGTCACCGACGCCAAGGCCTGCTATTGACAGTCCGGCCCTAACTCCCTACAAAGGGGCCGACGATAAAAAAGGGCAGTGTTTTCAGACCGCTGCGAGTCAGCCTGGCAGGGGCCCGGCGCGCACTGGCAGTGAGTATGGACGGGCTCACTGAGCGGATGAACGCAGCGCTGCACACCCACTGTCGGCGTGTGGGCGTCCAGACAGGCTGCAGGCTAAGGGCGGGTCACCCACGTAACGGCGACCTGCTGGGCTCCTCGGACCAAGCTCAAAACCCTCCGGGCGGGCGTGTCCGAGTCTCCATCGCGGAACCCACTGTTCCGCGGCTCGGCCGCCTTATGGACCCATCGCAAGGCTCCTCCTCCACCCCCTCTGCTCCGGAGGGAGCCGAGCATTTCTGGGCCGCACCTCAATGCTCCTATTCCCCGCTCCACAGCTCTTCCTGTTTCCGACCGAGGAGCACGAGCTCTCCGCCGTGGCCTGCTTCCACACGCCCACCCCGGAGTCACTGCACAAAACCCATCTGGTGACCATGCCATCCAAACGCTCGTTTAACACTCGTGACTCGTAGCCAATAAAAACATACATCCTCTACATGTATGCATTTCTGCCTTGAGTTTGAAGGTCCTAAAAGTCAGGGTGTGACATCCCCAGAGTTTCCTCTTTACAGAATGAAGAAGTGCAGTTCGAGCTGCTATTTTAAAATGCCCACGAGGATGGCGGTGCTGGTCTCACTGGGGTCAGAGACACCAAGAATGGGCTGTGAGCGGCGAGGTGTTTACGCTGCTCGGACTCTCCTCGCTGAGGCCTCAGAACCAAGAAGTGCCACAGGGCCCGGCTCCCTCGTGCGCTCCTTTTTCTGCTCAGGAAACAAGCCTGAGCTACATACACACACACAGGGCGAAAAGAAACATTTTCACTTTTGACTTCCTAGTGCCATCAGTGTTCAAAACGAGTCTCAGCTTTTAAGGGGCCCTCAGAGGGCTTAACCTGCTGCCTTCTTGCACCTGCAGGGTGCTGGCAGCACACCCATGGGACTAGGAAGAGGGGCTAGGAAATGAGATTTCGACTAGAGACAACTCAGCAGTCCATCTAGGAACAAGTGACATCTCAGCCACGTTGGCCAAAGGTTTGCATTTCATTTTATGCAACTGTGTGATCAGCGCAGGTGGGCCCTGGGCTTTCCACCTCTCAGACCCCAATCTTTACCCCTACCCCCCTTTACCAGTTAGAACTCTATTCTGTTGTTGCTGCGGAGGTCTTTTTCAGTAACATCCTTAGGCCAACTTTCCCATTAGGCTGTGAGCTTCTAGCAGGCAGAAGGATGGAGCTCTGCACATGATAGGTGCTCAGTAAATGTATTAAAAGCTAAGCCAGCGACCCAGCATCAGACGCTACAGAAGCCGCAGGAGGACACCTTTTCCAAACTGCTCATAAAAGCAAAACCTCACAGCCACAGAGCACGTCGGAGAAATGACAAGAGCTTGAGGGCACAGCAGCATGAGACGACCTACCAAACCCAGAATGTGGGCTCTGAGAACCTAAAATGCTCTCACCAGCAGACCTGAGCTTAGCTCACGCCGACCGGGTTCCAGCAACCTTTGCTATGCGGCAGCTCACACTTGCTCTCGCACACCGTGAATGTCTGTGCCCTGTCCTCCCGTAGAGCAGGTTGAGCCCACTGAGGAAAAGGAAGTCACGGACCACAAAGTTTCTATAGCAACTGCATGAGGTTGTTGAACACAAACACATAAGAATAACAAACCATCCGTGGGTCTCTTTCTAGAACAGGGATTATCAAAGATTCTAACTTCAACCAAGCTGAGTTAATATAAAACAAAATCCAAAGCACTGGGAAATGTGAGTTTTGGTAAAGATGCCAAACTATTTCTTCTTGCGCTGTGAACAGATCTGCCAAGTTCCAAGTGAAATAACTTATTTTTAAACTGTGACACTGAAATCCAACGCAAAGGCTCCGGAGGTAAGGGCAGGAGAGACTGGGGAGGACTTCTACATTCGTTCACCCCTTGCCCAAGATGACCCCAACCACACAGGGCTGTGTCTGCAGCACGAGTCTCCAGGGAAGGACCACGGAAACCGCACCTGCTGCTGTAAATACATTACCTACGAGAAGAACGTTCATGTTCTGTGCTTCTAGACATTCCACGATCTCTATTGCTTTTTTCAGGCAACGTCTAAATGGAAAAGGGACAAAAAAAGGGCATTAGTTCTTGGGCTTGGTATTGAAACAATAAGAACTTCAGAAGGCAGTCTGACTTGATCTTCAGTTTTCTATCTTATTTTTGCTAAAAGCCTCCAAAAGAAACAAATCACCATCGGCACTCTTCAGGTACTGCAAGACATGCATTTTGCCTACTAGAAACTTAAAATTTTCAGAAGGGAATCCCCAGACTGACATAGAAGTGCTCCCAGGTGATTTCTGAACTGGAAACTCTTGGTGAGGACTCAGACCCGAGTTGGCGCGAGGCCCGGGGGGGGCCACGGAGGCGCCACCTGCGGAGCGGGCCGCACGTCCGTGCTGTCCACTCAAGGACACCTTGACTCCGGTCAGCGTGGCCGCCGAGATCCCAGAAGTCCTACGGGTCGCTCTCCAGACGCACTATTCCCTCTGAGACGGCGGCCACCACCGGCAACTCTGACTTACAACAAGGAGGGCCTCTCGCCTGCTGCTCTCTGCCTGCAGTGGCGCCACCCCTGCAGGCTCTTCCCCTGGTTAAGGACCTTCAACCTTCTCTCTGCCTCCCAAAAGGAGAGGTTCTTTTACGACACTTATCCCTGTTGGCATAACACATTCACACTATTAGCCATGCTCTTTAAAACATGCTGGTTAGTATGTGCAGAGGGCACAGCTGAGAGAGGAGAATGCCAGGCGAGGCCCAAGGGGGAATTCCTCTCTTCCCTCAACCCCATCCCTGGGTTGGGGCTGTTCTCTCGCCCCAGCCCTCATTTCCGTTCCATGCCACCCCCACCTTTGCCCTTCCCTCTACTTCCTGGCAACAGGGAAGAGCTACTCAAAATGTGAAAGTGAATATAATTCTGTTCTCTGGGAATCTCAACCTAATTCCCAAACCCAGAATGACAAACTGACATTAATCATAATTTTTTTTTAATTTTTAATAGATAATATACATATAGGACACTGAATTCTTCTAAAAAATTCTAATCAAATGTGCACACACACAATAGGTAACAAATGTAAAATCATGAGCCCTGAATAGAAGACACGATGTAAGAATAGTTAACTGTGAAATGTAAAACACTTAAATTATTTGTCAATTTGCTTAACTACTTTGAATTAGAGAACTATAACATTCACGAGCAATCAATGGCTTGAAATACCTGATTATGTCAAGCCAGCTGCTACTTTCCAACAGAGAAAACCATTTTATATCTGTGTCCCAAAATTCAGTGCTGTTATCTGGAAAAAAAAAAAAAGTAAAGAGTCAGGTGGCTCGCTCCCACGCCTGCCACGAAAACCTGTGCTGCTCAGCCACGCAGCTCAGCCACGCAGCTCAACCACGCAGCTCAAGTGCGAGGCCAGGCACCAGTCTCCGCTGTAAGTAAGGGCTGTTTCAAAACGTCAGCTGAGACGGCATTTCCACTGCAAAGCACTGGAAGGTCGCGGTAGTCACAAACAGATTTTTACTGCACAAACAGAAAGCGCCTACGATGCAGAACGGGAGCCACGGTCCACCCCGTAACTCGGCACGGAGCATGGCAGGCTTCGGGCAGAGACAGAACATCCCGGCTGCCGCTCCCAGAAGTGGGAAGGCAACAGAATACACCCCGAGGCCCCGAGGCCTCGGGGCAGACCTGCCTTCTGCTGAGACCCCGAACACACACACACAGTCACCGCGCACAGCGCTGCACAGTGTCCCCCACCCACCCGACACAGAGAGCCCTGCCCTTTACAGAAGCCTGCCACTTCAAAGCGGCAACTTTAAATCAAAGGCAGATACCCCTGCAGGTCCTGGACGATCAAAACAAAAGTGGAGAATCAGTCCTGTATCAACTGGTAAAATTTCTCACTCCCTTCGCCAGGCCCCTACTTCTTATCAACTGACTTTGTAACATGCGTCACAATGTGTTTCAGTCAGAGGCGTCCACTTCTGGTTCCCTTGGTGTCACATTCATTTTTATCTCCAGTGCCTCGCAGGGTTTGTACATAATGGAACTTCAGTAAACAGCAGCTGAATACATGAATGAATCCTAAATTAGTGCGGCTTTGCTAGGCTAAGAGGTCCAAGTTGGGAAAAGTTACCTGTGTGAGAAATCTCAGGGTGAAGACTCATTCAAGAATGAAAAGAATTAATAGCCAACTGAGCCTGATTAGAGATGACTCAAGTTCTGACCTGTCCGCAGTGGGCAGCCTGGGCAGGGAAGTGGGGGTGGCTGGGATGGGCACATCTCACTTCCTGCTTCGTACATTTCTGACTAACTGAAAATTTTCACACTGATACACACACACACACACACACACACACAGGTACCTCTGTGTGTGTGTGTGTGTGTGTGTGTATATCCAATCAGGAAAAAAGTAAAGTCACCCCACTCGGGTGGGCGGAGTCCCTTCAGCAGCGCACTAAGAGGCCACACTGATCACTCCCTTGGGGCACCCGGCAAGCCAGTCCGTGAGCACGCGCACGGCACAGTCCCACCACTTTCGCCCAGAGAGGCTCCAGCGCTCACCACCGGGCAACGGGGAGCTGAGGAAAGGAGAGAAGGGGCGGGTGGATCCGCGCTCACTGCTGTGAGAAGGGGAAGAGCCTGAAGGAGAACGGAGGGGGAGCGTGGCAAAGGCAGCCGCCCCCTGGCTGCCAGCCCCTCCGTGGCGCGACCCCGGCCCTCGCGGCCACGGAGCTCTGTGCACAACCACGAGGCGCCCAGAGAAAGGCCCCGAGCGCCACCCGGTCCACGTGGTGTGCCCTTCCCCATTTCCCTCGGCCTTCTACTCACCTATCAGAAACAGCTGTTTAAACTTGGAGTACGCAGTCTGGATGTCCTGCAGGGACACGAAGTTGCTTGATAGGTCTTCGGTTTTGACAATCTCGTAGGGTGGCCTGTGGATGATCCTGTAAATTCTAGGCGTCAAACAGTAATGAGAGATTAGGAGGGCAGACGGGAACTGGAACTAGCTTATTTCTCCTGAGCACTTACTACATGGCAAGGTCTGTGTGAAGGGCTTTGGAGACGCCCTCCCCTTTAACCCTCACCCCCGAGGCAAGCCCCACGGGCCCGCCAGCGACAGCCAGCGCACGGGGAAGTGGGGGTGCGCGGAGAGCGCCTCCCTGGCCCAAGCCCGTGCAGCTCACAAACTGATCGAGCCGTGACTTGAACTAAAGCAACTTAACTCCAAAGTCTACGCCTCTTGTGTTTTTCATTCGTGCCCTCTGGTTTTTTTTAAACTGTGCGGAGTTTATTTTGAAAATGTTCAAACATGCGGAGAAGTCAGAAAGAGCAGCACGGTGACACGCACCACGGTGACACGCGCCACAGTACAGACCGACAGCGGTTAACATTACAGCTACCTCGCCACACGCCCCTAAATCCATCAGTGTGCGTCTCTGAAAACAACACAGCTGCCATTCCTAATGACTTCGGTACGCGCCTTCTGAAGCAGTTAAAAGCCACCACTCTGAGCTGCATCCCAAGCACTAAGCTATTAGAGGTGACCAGAAACGGCCATACTACCAAGAACTATTCCCTGCTTCTCAGAAAGTAAGAACAGAGCTGAGCAGTGACGAAATGCCGAACAGTACCAACCCTTCCAAGAAGCTCTTCTGGGTTTGCAAAACGCTATCATCCTGTTCTTTGGGTAGGGCTGACATTTTCAAAAGGGCACATCCATTGTGGCAGGACCAACACCATATCTGCAGAGAGAGGTAAAAGTTTTCCAAACATAATATACACAAGCCAACAGGGAACAGGTGAGCTTACCATTGAAATCGATACGGGGAAATTTATAAGTTCAACGTGAAGTGGCTGGACATATTAAACTTTGCTAAGCTAAGCAACAGTCATAACGAAGATTGATTGAGTCTTAGAAAACAGAACAGGTCTAGGTAGACGCGCTCTCCAGTGTGGGAACCTGGGTGCAGATAACAATGTTAGTATTAGTGGGGTAGAGGCTATCGCTGGAGTGCAGCCTTGTCGTGTCACAGCGTTACATGAATCAACCCATCTAGTTCTCACTCTAAGGCAGGTGTGATTATTGGCCCCATTAACAACCAGAAACGGAGGCTCGGAGAGACCGGCCGCGGCGGTCTGACTCAAAGGGCGGCAGGAGGGGGCAGTGCTGCCATCCGAGAAAGCTCACGCTAGAGAGAAGGGGGAGTCGGCTCTTCGACACACACTGTCGCAGACTCGCATGTGCATAGCGCCGACTCGGGTTGTGAGAGCACGAGAAGAGGGCGAAGGTACGGTGTCTGCCTTCAAGGAGCTGACACTCTAAAAGGGAGAGACGCCTAGCAGTCTAACGAAGCAGGATGTGCTAAACCACAGCAGAAGAGAATTGCAAGGAACAACAAAGGGAGGGCAAAGGAGGAAGAAATCACGTGAATGGTCACAAAGGACAGGTCCCAGTGTTTTTCTGGATACAGTGGGCATTTTCGTGTTTGCTCTGCTTTGCAGGAACGAAAGATCAGAACTGATCCTGGGGCAAAGTAATCTGCCCAGCAGAGCCTGGGGTGGAGGAGAGGGCGAGGCTGGGTGGGGCACTCGAGTCCATTCATGGCCTTTGGGCCTGGTATGACAGCAGCCTGGCTAAGGGTTCGAGAGCGGCTAAAGCTCAGCCCCCATTCTGCTGACCAAGCCATCGGGCCCTGGCTCGAAGGTAAACCTACAGGATTTTAGCAGCCCGGAGGGGCACCTTGTTGCCGTTCTTTGATGTACAAACAATACCTTGACCATGTTAGCAGCAGCCTGGCCCAGGAGACTAGAGGTCAGGCCGATCCAGGGGATACTATGCACTACACTCGGAGAATCCAACATAGAGGAACCAGTCTGGGGCTCCGGGGGAAGGGGACGAAGCAGCACAATCAGTGTTCGGTGTGTAGGGTGTCTAGTGCCAGTAGGACATCCACGTGAGGATACTCAGGAGGCACCTGAGATGAGGGTTCTGAGCTCAGGAGAGGAAGGCAGGACTGGAGCTCTGGACACGGCAGCTGACTTCCAGCTGACGTGGAAGAGACATAAGCCCACTCAGGAAGCAACGCGAAGGGACATAGAACTGCCGAAAAGCAAGGATTCCTTGAGGGACAGGCGGTGCCCGTACTCTGATGCTTTAGGGTTCACAACAAGGCAGAAGTGTCAGAACACTGAGACAATTCAGAGGGCTCTCTGCTGCCCTCTTATCCCCTCCCCCGGTGCTATGCTGAGCCACGTGCGGAAACCGCCACAGCTCTAGCTCCCTGCCAAAGGCGGCAACATCCCGCATGCCCAAGCCGTCCTGCGCCCCTGCTGGGCACGGCTCATCCTGATGAAGGGGGAGATGCTCTTTACCATGACTGCGTGACAGGGTCTAGGCAACTGAGTGATTTTAACCCTTTTTATCTCCTTTCCTGGAACAGAAAGGGTGGTTCTTGGCGGTCTCAAACCATAACTCATTTTCTATTTGAGGCACAACCGTAAAGGAACTGTCTCAGCTCAGCTGAGGAGCGGAGGGGCAACTCCCTGACTATCCTCCATTTGAAACAGTAAGTACAAAACAAGCAAAATTCTTGTTAGAGAGAGACTGCTCTCAGGAATTTAGCAAAAAGCACACGTCCTCTCCTATTGTAGTGTGTACTATTTCTGTCTGGGAAAGGGCCCGGGGTTCTTAGTGTGAAGGACTTGACAACAGATAAGAATCACAGTTGGTTAATCCTGTTTACCTAAGAAAAGGAAGGGGGAAAATTATTCACTAGTTCATGCATCTTACAGTGTCTCTCTTAACAGAGCCAAAGACAGAGTCTCGGGGGGACATGCACAACTGGAGGCTAGACAGCAGGGTAAGGAAGAGAACTATTAAGGAAGTAAGAGGACCCAGACACTACGGTGCTTCTACAGCCAGCACGGGAGCTTAAAAGGCCCGAGGGAGGGTGCCCCAGAGTCAAACTGTAGTGACAGCAGGGGTGCAGGGGCACCAGGGCCGAGCGGGCTCTGCCTGGTCAGCAGAGGGCGGGCGGCAGGGAAGCAAGTAGAGAAAATGAGTTCAGTCTCTTTAAATCCGTTTGGCAGCCAAGGACGGAGGACACCACAGTAGCTTCACTCCTAAGGAAGGGCTTCTTCAGGTTAGGGAGAGCTGAGGAAGTCTCCGAGAGGAGAGGACCGTGTGGAAAGGCACGCGTGGGCCGGGGGACTGACGGGAGCAGGTCCCGGGCAGAAGGGCGGACGAGAGCAAGAGCCGGGCAGGGGTCTGGGTTCGAGCTGAAGGGCAGAGGAGCGCAGAGAAACCACAGGGGGTGGGAGGAAGGAAGGCGAGGGGGGTCTTGTGGTTGCTGCCCGTGATCCCACTAAAGGGATGGGAAGGCTCGTCTCTGCGAGTAAGAGAGTTCAGGAGGGAATGAATGGCGAACAGAAGGAGATGAAAACGTCCGCAGCAGCCCCGGGGAAGAAGGGCACAGGCCCCGAAGGAGTCAGACGACAGGCCAGACAGACGGCTGCAGGGCAGGGACCCAGCCCAGGTGACGCGACAGCTTCCATCGATCCCATGAGGTCCGCTGTGCTGTTGGGCGTAAATAATCCACGGCCACGTTCGTTAGCCCCACAGGAAAGAAAAAAAACAAAAAAAAAGAAAAAAAATCCTCTGGGTCGGAGGCCAAAGACTCCAGAGCAGCAGCGAGAGCATGACTGGAGTTACACACGATGGCGGCTTCCCTGACGAGGACGGGGAGGCAGATGAGGCAAGCAGGTGAAAGTCAGGGTAAAACAGCATGGAGATGAGGAATGTTCTGGAACTAGGTAGTGGTAATAGTTGCACAAGATTGTGAATATACTTAATGTCACTAGTGGTAAACTTTACGTTATGTGCATCGAGAGTTCTGTGCTCCCTGAATAAATGTACAAAGTCCACCTTGTGTAATATTTTTCTGCTGTTCATTCATACAAACTCCACTAATGACTTTCAGGTCACATAATTACGGCTGATGACCTAGTACAGTGAGAACACCTCCCCACAGTTTCTATCAGCTATGCTGCCAGCTCCTCACTCCGGGCTTAGCATGGCTCTGCCTCTCAGCCCACGGCCTGGCTAGAACTCAGAACACCGAAGCTCCAGACAACGCCGGACGGAGACGCTGCCTATTGCCGCTTGTGCAGACGACTCATCTTTGTTTCTTCCCACGAAGCTCACCCGCTTCTCCTAGATGCTTCTAGGAAAGGCTGAAGGAGGAAGACCCTCATTTTCATTCTTCTGAAACAGTGGTTCTCCAAGTGTAGTCTACAGGTCCAAGATGGGAAGCCCAAGACCCTTTCAGGTGTCCTGAGAATAACAGCAAGATGTAACCTGTCCTTTTCACTGTGTGGCCATCTGCACAGGTGGTGGGTGACACTGCCCATGCCCCAGGACCAGTCAAGGCACCGCCACCAAGCGGCACTGCCCGCCCCAGGATTCTCCACTGCCACACACGTGCAGAAAACACACTCGGCTTCACCTCCCAGTGCCCTTGTTGAGGGACTAACAATTATTAATTGTACTGATCTTGACCACTACATGTCTTTTTAATGTTCTGTGTGATGAAATGGGAGGTAAGCACCAAAGCGCAACGTTTGTCTCAAGGAAAAAGAGCATATGCGCCTGAGAACTGAGCTAACTGTTTTTTCATGGAACTGAAGAAATGAGTGACTGACAAATTATGGGTGTTCAGACTTTGGTAACTGGTGGTCATTCTTTTTAAAAATATGAATGAAGTAAGCCTATCACTTCATGAAGAACACCTGACAAATTGACACCAAAGATAAAAACTGAATTTTCAAGTAAAAATTGGAATTTTGGGAAACTAGTCTCTGCCCTTTTGGCTGAACAGCTTCCCAATATTTAATGATTTTCCTGGTGAGATGGAGTGATATAAATGAAAGTGATTTTTATTTTTTTTATTTATTTACTATTTTGAGAGAGAGAAAAAGAGAGAGACATTGGTTGATTCTTGTGTGTGCCCTGACTGGGGATTGAACCCATAACCTCGATGTATCAGGACAACGTTCTAACCAACTGAGCTACTTGGCCAGGGCTTGGTTTTTATATTATGTAAGGAAATGTCAGTACTGGACAATCTGTATTACCTAGTGAACTAATATTTTCCAGATGACCAATGTATAGTGTTATAAAATCATGCATGTTTTGAGATCCATTCAAAGTATAAGATAAACCAATGGATTTTAACTTAGCAGAGAATGAAAAACTTCTCGATTATGTTTTCAGATTCCTAACTGCAATTAACCTTTATGAAACTACCACTGATCAGTTTTTTTGGTGTACCATCAAAAAATAATATTCTCAATTACGGAAAAAGGCTATTAAATAGTCCTTCTTTCCCCAAATACATATTTGTTAGGCTGGACTTTCCTTCACGTACTTCCCCCAAAGTCTCACATACCGTAACAGACTACATGAACGAAGCATACAGAAGTATCCACCTGTCTTCTATTCTCAAAACTGTAAAACAGTGCTGTTCTGCTTTTTAAAATTTTGGACAATATAGTTACTTTTTATAGAAATACGTTATTTACATTAGCAGGTTATGAGTTTATCACTAAAACAACAATTTTTAAGTGTTTCAGGTTTAATTTTAACATGCAAACAGCAGTAGATACAACCCCGTAACAAAAACCCTTCCAGACCCTCAGTCATTTGTAAGAGTGTGAAGCGCCCGGAGACCGGGAAGTCTGGGAACCACTGCCCTACACTGAAAGTTGCAGACTGGTGAGGACATGAACCAACGCAGGCCCGAAGACTTGTTTTTAAGCCTCTGGGTCCAACGCATACCTTTAGAAATCAAGAAAATTCACATAAGAATCCATATCTGAGGCTTCTCCAGAGCGATCAGGTGTCTGGCAAGACCAGGCCCATACTCCCAGAGCACAACCTGCTGGCACAGACGGGCGGCCACCCGGGTGCACCGTAAGGGCCACCACGCTCATCACTTGCCCGGCCTGCACGTGCTCCTGGGCGGGTGACCCTGCCTGCACATTTCGCCTCCCATACAGAGTGACCTTTCTGGCGAACGAGCCATGGGCACAGCAGAGCATTTATTTGTAACTCTCGTTCCCCACTGAACTCCTGCAGGCTTGGCAACTCCCAACCACCCATGAGAAACCGGAGTAACTGCCAGAGTCTTGCCTTCTTTGATCAGTGACACATTAAATGTGGCTCCCTTCCCAGTCTATTCTGTGAGACTCAGTAAGCTCTTTCTGCCGTCTCTGGGAAAACCACAGCCACGCCCAAAGATTAATGGTGCAGGCCGAAAAGAATCTTAAACCCTACTACCCTTAGGGTGGTCGGCTGAGCCTCAAAATTATTTAGGTGTTAAATCAGGCTAGCTTTCAACACCAGACAGATCGTAATCGTCTTAAAGCTTTTCAAAGGTGTCTCTGCTAATGCGCCATTGCATCTGTGAAAACTTTAGAGCTCTGTCCCCGGGAGCCTCGGGTCTAAGAGACTTCTCCAGGGAGTCTCTAAGATATTTTTGGATCACTCTTGGGCTAAGGAGAAAATCTCTAGTCCAGAAGCCAAGGGATTTAAGTAGAACAATTCCCCAAGATGAGCCGAGGAAGCAGCCGTGGCTGTCAGGGTTTCCAGATGCACTTACCGGTACGCCGTGACCCTGAAAGCGCGACACGTTCTCTTCGGGAAGAGGGGTGGGGACAACGAAGTATGCAGGCAACCTAGAAGAAAGAGATGGCATCAGTTTTAGCGGTGGGGCTAATTCGCTAAATACGAAAGCTCAATTTTAATGAACACAGGAAGCTAAGCGGAGTGGTGGGAAATGGACCATATTTCCCTGTTAAGAACCAGCACAGGTGAACCCTCTCTGGCCAGATAAGAGAGTCTGAGTGCAAATCCCAGCTATGCCTCTGATTCTGGTAACTACAGACAACTTTCTTCACTTCTCTGGGTCGGTCCTCTCATCCATAGGAGAGGGGCACTGGAATATGTGATGTGTAAAACTATATGAATTCCAAAATTGGGAGTGATCTTTGTCATCACGTAGTGACAACAGAAGCACTTGTGTTGTTTTCGGTCAGACTAATATGACCACTGCCCACTTTACCAAGTGCTTCAACAACACTTAAGTGTTACTATTGAATATACGCCAGACTCTGTTCTAATTACTGAGTTATTCAAACTCCCCAACACCACGACGTGGCATGTGCTACTACAACTTCCATTTGACAGATAAAGAAACTGAGACACAGCACTACCAAGGCCCTTCCCAGGTCACACAGCTAGTAAGCATTTGTGAAGCTGGGACTTAACCCCCAGGAGTAATGACCTCAGTCTCTACATGAGAAAATTTAGGTTCCAAAAATAACACACCTGCTAAGAAGGGACGTGGGACAGGCAGATTTTCGGGGTCACAGAGGTCAGAGATGTACGGGGACACCCTCCCCTCCTCTAATCAGCAGATGCAGGTTTCTTTTATCAGAAGGCCACCTAGGTTTTATCACTGCGGGGCGGGGAGGATCTTTTACTCAACGAGCCTGAAACTAAGCCTCCCCCACGACAAGAAGGTGCCTGTGGTGTCGGAACTACAATGAAACTACTCAGGTGGTGTTTTTATGCTGCGTGTGTGAAGTAAAGCTCTCAAATAGCAATTTTAGGTCGTGGGAAAGATTAATTTTCCAAGCTGAAAAGATCCAAATTTGAGTGTGATCAAGCCAGTGGATCGAATCAGGTCACAAGGTATGGAGCAACATTTTAAACATCATCATGGGGATGTGCTCATCAAAATCCAGACTGTGGGAAACTCTCAGACAGGTGGCCTGCTTTCTTCAACCAAAGAAAATGATGGTGAGTGAATCTATAGATTGAAACATCAAAAACCTATCAACTGCAAAATATCAATCACACTCAATCCTGACTAATGATAAAACATGTAAAAAGATGAAAGATAAACTGTTTTAAAATTTATAAAACAATAGGGAAAATCTGAATAGTGGGGACGAATGATATTAAGGAGCTAATGTTAAATTTGAAACTTGTGATGATGGTTTTATGGTTATGCTTATAAAAAAGAGCCCTTCCCCAACCAGTGTGGCTCAAGTTGGTTGGAAAACCTCACCCAAAGCGAAAGGTTGTCAGTTGGATTCCAGGTTGGGGCACATGCCTGGTCTGGGGTGTGTATGAGAGGCAACCCATCCATGTTTCTCTCTCACCTCAATGTTTCCCTCCCTCTCTTTCTCCCTCCCTTCCCCTCTCTCTAAAAGTTAAATGAATAAAAATCTTAAGAACAAGGCGTCCTTAATTCTTAGAGATGTATACAGAAATATTCATGAATGAAATGTGATGAGCTCTGGGATTTACTTCAAAACAATCCAGGAGAGGATAAATAAAACAGGAGGAGCCATGCGTTAGTAACTGTTGAAGCCAGGCGATGGAGAAAAGGGAATTCATCATTTTCACTTTTCTTTTATGCTCTTGAAATTTTCCTAGAGAAATACCTTAAAGGTAATTAAGAAGAAAAAAGTTCCCATAATATTGTCACGTAAAACTAGGTTTGGGAATCACTGGTCAAGGCTAAGACACCTCAAACCACCGAAACGTAGAAGTTGTTTTTGGCTTCTGAGGTTTGGAAGTGCTTAGGACGTTGTCTCGTGTGTCTGCTTGAGTTCGTGGGCGGTGAGACACCCCTTCAGAGGTCGTTGTCACTGAAGGAAAAACTTCTTCACGCATCAGTGGCTCTCAAACTCAGGCTGCCCATTCACATCACATGGTAAGATGAAAAATTCTTAACCCCTGGCTGGCATAGCTCAGTGGATTGAGCGTGGGCTGCGAACCAAAGTGTCACAGGTTCGATTCCCAGCCAGGGTACATGCCTGGGTTGCAGGCCATAACCCCCAGCAACCGCACATTGATGTTTCTCTCTCTCTCTTTCTCCCTCCCTTCCCTCTCTAAAAATAAATAAATACAATCTTAATAAATAAATTAATTAATTAAATGAATAAAAATAAAATAAATTCTTCATGTCCAGGCCCCACCCCAGAACTATGATCTGTCAGAAGCTTAAACGCTCTCCAGATGTGCAAACGAGACGAAAGCTGCTGTTCTGGAAGATCCTGTTACTCCGAGTCTGCAACAGCGTCACCTGGATGCTGATACGGAAAGCAGGCTCTCAGGCCCAGAGCCAGCCTCACAGGATCAAGGCCTGCATTTGAATTAGCTCCCAGGAGACTTAGCTGGACAGGAAACTGTGAGAGGAAGCAGTGCTCTAGATGGCAGCCTACAGACATGTCCGAGTTTCTCCCCTTGTACAGGGGAGTCACCATGGGCTTGGTTCAAACCTGATTCCCAGCTCCTTCACCAGAGGCTCACTCTCCAAAGCCGGGGTGGGGTCCTATTGCTTTAAAACATTCGCATGTCTCACAGTGTTGGTTACCTAGTTAATTTTTTATGTCTTTCACCAAAGGGAGAATCAAGTGGATCAGCATATGTACCAGTCACTCAAGAAAGAAGGCTGGGAGCATGTTCTCAATCCACTGAGATTTTTGCTGCTTCCCAGCAACTGTTGCCAGTTTGGCTCAACAAACCTCACACAAATTCAAAAAAAAAAAGGAAGGAAGGAAGGAAGGCAGGCAGGCAGGCAGAAGGGGGCGGGGAGGCTGCCCAGAGAGGGACAGCTCTGCACCAGTGCAGGAGGTCGGAGAGGTGCTGTCCTGTCCCACTGCACCACACGCGGCTCTGTGGAGTCTCTGTGATAAGATTCCCAACGTCTGTAAGCCAGTAACCCTCCCTCCTGGGACAGCAGTCGTTTTAGTGATTAGGATGAGTTTAGAGCAGAAAGTAAACAGCTCCTTCAAATACAGGGTGACTCTATTCACGGGAAGCTGTGTGACCTGCTCAGGCACGGCCTCGGGCAGGGTGAGGGAACCCGCAGAGCGACAGCACCGGGCAGCGGTGTCTGCCTGTGGCGGCAGCGGGGTCTGCTCACGGGCTCCTTTGTTACTCGTGCCCCACAGGGGTGAGACCTCCTCACACCGTCCTAGGGAGGTGGGACAAGAGAAAGGCTTTTCAGGAGAACAGACTGTGGTACGGGGAGAGCCAGCTCGGACCTTAAAGGAAGGTGACATAGGCACTCAGTTTTTCATTCTCATCCAAAGTGACTGGAGTCCCCTCTGACTACGGGTGGGCTTTCATTAATTTATTCGCTCTGTCTCCTATGTCTCGAGTCCCTCATAAATCCAAGCACTACGCTTGGTTCACAGGATAGAGGTGGAGCAAAAATAGGTTTATAACTGTAAGCACATGAGATAGTTTATTCTTGTATTAATATCTATTAATTATTGTATTATTTTTCATATACACTGTAAACCTCCTTTGCCACATCCTGTGATGACGAGCAAAAACAGTGTCCTTGATTCCCCGGAGCTGTCTTCTCTACCAGATGTACTTCTGATGTGCTGACATGTACGCGAACACCAGTGGATTTAACCAGTCTGCGGCAGGACTTCTTCTAAACAGTTCTGGGAACGGGACTGCCTTCTCTCAGTTCCAACGTCACATCATGAGCTACCGAACTACTGCCTCACTGCCTCCCGGGAGCGGGGGTTTCACCCTCTTTCTGAGGGGTGCTAACTTTCACTTTCCAAGCTTTGAGACTGTAAAGGGGAGGAGGAGCTCCATGGGAGTGGGGGCGCACGTGATACCGCCCTCACCCTGCAAGCCCCTCCCCCTGTCACCCCAGCTCCCACTGTGACAGGAAGGTTAATCATAAATGTTTGAGACTGGTCAACATCAAAAGTCATCTGCTGAAGAGGCCCATCAGAGCCACGAATTCAAAATGCTCCACCAAAGTAGAGTGGTCACACTTAACCACGGGGATTCGCTCCAAACCCCAGAGGATGCCTGAGACCATGAGTGGTACCGATCCCTATACACCATATTTTGCCATGTATAATGCAAACTTTTTCGCCCAAATTTTTGAGGGAAAAATAAGGATGCGCATTACACACGGGCAGTACTAATTCCGTATCTATGTGAATGTTCTTAATTCTTTTATTTATGCTTATGTGTTAAAAGTGTTACTTTAGAAAGCAACAATGATATCCATATGCAAATTACCCTGAAATACAGTAATCGGTTTCGTTTCTAAATATAAATAAAATTTGAATTACAAAATTAAAATGAAAGATTTTTTGCCCTGAAAGTTTGGGCCAAGAACGTGGGTGCACGCTGTACATGGAAGCGTACGACACGTGGCAAAAAGCGGCACACTATGTTCTTTCCCGTCCACACACACCTACGATGAGGTTTAATTTATAAATTCGGCACGGCAGGAGAGTAACAACAATTACTAGTAAAATAGAACAATTATAAGAAAACACTGTAATAAAAGTTATGTGAATGTGGTTTTTCCCTCCCTCAAAATATCTTGCTGTGCTGCACTGCCCCCTTCTCATAAGGAAGCACTTTACAGCCTCACTTGGGCAGGTCTGAACTGCCGCACCACTCACTCCTCTCGCACTTGACGGCCATTTCTGAGTAAGATAAGGGTTACCTGAACACAAGCGCCGTGATCCCACGACACGCCATCTGATAAGCAAGGCGGCTAGTGAGTGGGCAGGTGTGCCTGCAGCAGGGACACGCTGGACAGAGGGCGGAGCGACTCCCCACCCAGGCGGGACACAGCGGAACGGTGTAAGAGTTCATCACGCTACTCAAACAGCACCCCGTTAATGAATTGTTTATTTCTGGAATTCTCCATTTAACATTTTAGGACTGCAGCTGACCACAGATGATTTAAACTACAGAAAGCAAAACCACGGACAAGGGAAGACTACTGTACAAATTTTATGAGACTGCTAGCAGAGCGCTGGGGCGTTGTGTTCCCAAATGGTAAGATTCAAGTTTCTAAAAGAGAATTATGCAAAATCAACCTTTAAAATGTAGGTCAGGACACATTACGCTTCTGCTCGAACTCCTCCTCACTTACCTATAAATTCCTCTGACAGCCTCCCAGCCAGCCAGCAACCAGCCGCTCCTCCTCTCCCCGACCTCGCCTCCCACTGCTCGGCCCCTGCTCGCTCCTCTCCAGCCCCTGGCTCCTCGCTCCCCACACAGCAGGACCGAACTGCACCGCAGGGCCTCTGCTGCCGCCGCTGCCTGACCAGGCCTCCCCACCAACAGCTCCAGCACACCCTCCCCCCTCCCCGATCTATTTTCTCTGTAGCACTTGTCACCTCCTAATGCACGGTGAGTGCTCACTTATTCTGTCATCACTTCCTCCCACGGCAGTGACAGCCCCAGGAGGGCCGCGTTTTTAGCCTCTGCTGCTGCTGTACCTTGAGTGGCGAGGACACTGTTTAGCACAGAGTAGGCACTCAAATTTTCACTGCGTGAATAAATGACATGTTTGGTAAGAGGAAAGCAAACACACAAAATAAATTCAGAAATGCCTCTAAAAATGTTGCACTTAGATTACAGATACAGGAATGGGCAATACAACAGAAACCCACTTCTGAATGTTTTAGGGGATACCTTAATTAATGTGGAGGAAGGGGGCCCTTCTGATGGGAACGCAAAGTGGAGTCGCTGCTGGGGAAGACAGTCCGGCAGCTCGTCAAAATGCTGAGGGCAAAGTCACTACCGGGCCTAGCAACTCCATCCTAGGCCTTTACCTGGGAGAACTGAAAACGCACATCCACACGAAAACTCGTACTCACACGTTTGATGCAGCATTAGTCATAACAGCCAAAACGTGAAAACAACCCAAATGTCCATCGACTGATGGACAGATAAATAAAACATGGTCTATACGACTATCCGTGCTGTGGAGTATCACTCAGTGACAGACAAGAATGACGTTCTGATACGTGCTACAACATGGATGAGCCTTAACACTGTGGCGCTGTGCTGAGTGAGAGGAGCCAGGCGTAAAGACCACATACTGTGTGGTTCCCTTCCTATAAAATGTCCAGAAGAGGCAAATCTACGGAGCTAGAAAGCAGATGAGTGGCGGCCTAGGGCTGGGGGTGTTCTGAGAACGTGGGGAGAGATTACTAATGGGTATGAAGTTTCTTTCGGGGATGAGGAGAATGTTCCAAAACCGACTATAGTAATGGTTGCACAACTGTGTGAGTGTATTTCAAAACAGTGTATCTCCAATGGGTGAAACGTATGGAATGGGAACGAAATCTCGAGGCAGCTGCTTGCAAGCGCACGGCCCTGAAAGCTCACCTTTCACAGACCCTGTAGCCTTCGTTGACACTCACTGCTTTGTACTTCACGCTGCCCCGGGTCCGGTCCAGCTCCCGACACCAGTCCTCGAGGGTGTCAAACATCACAGTGTGGCTCTCGGGGCTGGTGGCTAGCAACATAAATTTAAAAAGACAATAAAAGCCTGTCATGAAGCGCTGGTCTTCTAATGACGGCGAAGTGAATTCTCAGGCCCCAATTCCCTTTACTGCACCCAGGTCCATCCAGCAGGATGGCTTCCCCGCTCGGTCCTAACCTTGTTCCCCTTTTTTGTCACGAATCCAAAATTGTAACTGAGGCTCTGTTGTTTCATACGGGAGGAAAGGGGCTGTTTTAGTTCCACTCCTTGTAAAAGTAATCATAGGTCCGTTTTTAGCCATCTGACCATGAGATAATTTGGATAACATAAAAAGATCCTGAGAGGCACTGAAGGGCGGGCTCAGCACAAATGCTCAAAGAATGTTTTCAGCCCCACCAGTAAGTGCACGGGACGGCCAGCTCATCTGAACGGCATGCAGGGCTCCTGAGTGTAAATCCTCCTTCAACTGGAGGACACACTGCCAGCAAGTGGAGTTCCCAGCCTGTCCCTGAAGGCCACGAACACTGGAGAGCCACGAGGAAGGCAGGGTCTGCCAGCCAACGGCTGCAGCGTGTGCCGATGCTCTTGCCCCGGCCCCTGCCCCGCTGCCACCTGCCGGGAGGAAACGCCCAGGAGCACGGCTCCGCCCCACCGACGTGTCCCGGACCCTCTCCCAAGCCACACCACCGCTTGCTGGGGGTGACATGCACAACAGTTGTGGGTATTTACACAGATTGGTTAGTTCAAGCCTTTGCGTATCTAAAAAAATAAGCATTCTGGGAAAAATAAAGTGTTTGATAAAACTCCCATCCACTCTTTTTAATAAAACCAGATCATGGTACAAGGGATGATGATGAAAATAACGATAATATAAAAACAGTAGTGAAGTTTGTATAAGCTTCCAGCACTTAGTGTGTGCCAGGCGCTGTTCTGAGCATCCTGAACTCAGTCCTCGGAACCCCACAGGTTAGGTGGTCTTGTTTCCTCCACTGGACAGCCTCAGCACAGAGGGGTAAAGGACTCGCCCAAGATCACAGAGCCAGGCAATGGCAGAACTGGAATTCAAGCCTAGGCAGCTGTAGAGAAAATTTCTACACAGTAATAACTGCAAAAAAAAAATTATCCCCATGGACATAAGCACTTACGACCTTTCAGCCAAAGCACATTTATGAATTATTAAGCCTGAGAATAATTAAAGATGTTCAGATTGCAACGCAGCCCTCTCTACAAACCCCTACACAGTGACAACGCGAATTAATTCGTCAGTTCAAAATTATCTAGTGTAACCTTGACTTACCCACACTTGGGGGTGAAAAGGAGAAAAGAAGGGCGGGACTAAAACAGAACACCAGCAGTCTCACATGCGGGGCCTTGTGGCAGCAAGGGCCACCACGAGGTAATGAAACTGCCAGGTCCGCCAAGGTAAGGGCTTCCGGACACGGACCCCAGCTGAGAAGCTGTCCCAGGCTGGGTCCAGGGCGAGAATCAGATGTGAGGAAGCAGCAGAACCCCTAAAAAGTAGAGGGAGACTTTCCACACGTAGCCCAACGCACGTCTGTGTGCATGAGAGCAGCCGACACAGCCTGTCTCGCGCTGCAACGGGCGGCTGCACACCGGCACCAGGCACCATGCACCGGTACTCGCACGCTTACCGACGGCAGAGAGAGCTGTCACTCACAGAAGTGAGCCTCCTGAATTAAGGGACAAACGTCAGGTTCAGCCTACTAGCAGTGCTGACTATGTTTTATATCAGCATAATTCTCTGAACATAACACGTCCTGAATGACACGCAGTTACACTCAGTTAACCCTCATTTATTGACTGTACCCTGAGTCATACGTTTAATAATTTATAACCTTCACGACACTTTAAAGGAAGCATTAACACTACCATTTTTTAAAATGAGGAAACAGAGGCCCCAAGATCACACTGCTGCTAAGCAACCGAGCAAGGATCTGAACTCAAGGAGGACAGACCCCGGAATTCATACCACTGAATCACCCCAGTTCCCAAACTTCAACCTGCTCCCTCAGATAGCTCCATCTCTGCCTAAAACACGCCTCTGTGCCTGCCAGAGACTCCCACGTCGTCCAGGCCAGCTCACGCACAGCCTTCCTGCCCCCGGGATGGTCAGGCACTTCCTCCTCCTGCTCCCACGGCCTCTTCCAGCAGAGGAAGCGTCACTCGGCTGCTTCTGATGTGATGCTCTCAGAGCGCAGAGACTTAGTCCTGCTCGCCTCCGCACCCCCCAGAGCCTGACCCACAGCAGGCACTCGACAGCGTTCACTCAGCAAGCAGTACGTGACAAAGCAACTCTGCACTCCAGAAAGCCTGACACGTGCCGTGCCGTGCTGTTAAACCGAAAGCCACGTCCCGGACGAAGAGCACGCAGCACACAGCACCGCCCAACACCAGCCTCCTGTGAGGAGTGGTGGGCAGAGCCGGGGAGCCGACGGAGGGCAGACACCTAGAGAGGGGAGAAGACAGACCCCTGCGGAAACACGCACGATGCAGGCACTGCTAACAGCTACTTCAGATGATCAGAGGTTCTCAGCTAAAAGCCTGCTCTCTTTTTCAGTGAACTGAATGGAAAATATTTGCAACCTTAAGTTTTCCAACCAAGCTGATTTTCTGATGTGTTCTTTTTTGAAATAATGCTAACTGTAAACCCTTAGGGTTGACTACGGGCCATGTACTCTTCTAAGTACTTTAAGTATATTCCCTAATTGAATCTCCCCAGTACCCCAGAGAGGTAGATACCATTATCATCTTCGTTTTACAGATGAAGCCACGGGAAAGTTAAGTAATTTGCTCAAGGCCACACAGCTAACACTGGCGGACTCGGGGTCCCGACCCAGGCACGCTGGCTCCTGAGTACACAAGCTCTTCCGCAGAACATCCGCTTCCCACCTGATGCGTCCTTTCACGTGCAACTTCCATCTTTCATGCGAAACAATCAAACCAATTCCTTATTGTGAGGAATTCCTCACAATAAGACAACAAACCTAAAAGATAAGTAAAAAGCAACAAAGATCACAGGAACAAAAATAGAATTTTTTTTTTTTAGAAACCTGAACGTGTCGCCCAAGCAAAGGCGACCGACTGCTAGAGAAGAGGAGGAAACAGCTCAGTGCGTGGATTCTCTCCCACCAGTTTCAGGCAAGTTCCAGAAATGGGAAGGTCTGCCCATTCACAAACGGAACCCAGAAGACACTCACCTGCACTGTTCTGTACAGCAGCTGCATAGGAAAAGAGAAACAAGCGCTTGAGCAGTTTAGGGGTCAGGGTGTGGTGAATGATGCCGCTGACAATCTGGAAAAGAACCAAGCAGTGGAGAGAGTCACGTCTGGGCAGTGAGCATGGAGCCGTCTAGTTCTCAGTCATGCGAACCGGTCCCTAGGGGCGACACGCAAGAACTCCCCCTGAGATCTGCACCTACGGCAGCACCTCTCGGAAGAACACCAAACACACAAAGGCCAAGCATTTTGTCAGGTTTCCCAAGCGTTTTGGATTTCTAGGAAAATTTGTAAAGCATAGTCTAATTGCTCAAAAACTAGGTGCTAAAAAACCTCAAGTGCCACATTGGGACACCCTAAAATCTAACATCAGAGACACACACATCTGATATCAGATGCGAACGGAAACAGTCTGGTCAATCTGTGGCCTGTAGGCCTTTCTTCTAGAAGATGAGGAACGAAATCGACCCTTTGTGCTTTTGTCTGAGGTGCCCAACAAAGGCGTGTTTGGACAGATGACCAAAACCATCGTTCGACATGAAGTGTCTGGCTTCTCAGGGAACTTTCCACACCTACATCACTCCTCTGCTCAGAACAGACAACTGAGGTCACGTTCATTACTCTTGCTGACCTCCATGCCACCTGCAAGAAAAGCAGGGACTTGCCTGTCAGCGTGCGTAACTCACTGCAGCCAAAGACAACGGACGAGCTGGCCTCCCGCCTGTGTTCCCCGCTGCGCTGGACCACGAGAGGGGCAAGTTCGGGACCTTCAGCGCCTCAGTGAGAGGAATCTTCGAGGTCACAATGACCACTACAACCAGCTTACCCAGCTACGCATCTTAATGTGCTGTGGCTACCGGATTAAGTTTTCTAAAGTGCCCCAAAGTGTCCACAGGCTCGTTTGCTGGCTCGGTTTTACCCCCCAGACCTGTGCACCTCCTCCCCCTCCCACACCCGTCCACTGCTCCCCAGGTAGAGGGGAAGCTCATTCACCCAGGAGCCGGGGGGTCACTGCTGCTGGCTCTTGGAAAGGCTGCCGGGGGCAAGGTAAGAGGGTTGCTTCCATCCTTCCCCCTCTCCGACCGCCTGCTGGCCCTGGCTTTCCATCTGCCACCCTTCAGAGGCTCCAGAAATCGCAACATTACGGACTGAGGAATTAAAGGTAGCGCGTGCCAAGATAATACACAGGCACGCTGCACCCAATTTCTCTCAATTCTAATCAAGGCATACGGAGTCACAACCAATTCCACCTCTACAAAGTAAAAGGCTCCTCGACCTACATGCAGTGTAAGCTGAAGTTGGTGGGGAAAACCTGATGGGAAATAAAACCTAAAAACACATGTAGCTAGTTACCCTTTTGACTTCCTCTTCTTTCGTGTACCTCAGGCAGAAGTGGAACACCCGGAGGTCTTTGCAGTGGATGATGAGTTTCTCGGGGTACTTCTTCAGCTGTCCGAAGAGAGTTTTTTTTTTCTCATCAAACACTGCACATACGATAAATGATAAAATCAGGGAGGGGAATTATGTTATAAGGCAACAAGTTAACACTCAAGACACCAGGTGTACTATTAACCTCTAAGGAGACCTCTGGGAAGTGAGGGGTAAGGTGCTACGTTCTAAGTCACTGCCAGCCCCACCCCGCCCAGGCCCTCGGCAGGGCCCAGGCTCCCCGAGGGCACCCAGGGCTCTCCGCGCCTCTCGGGAAGCGCTAGACGGGAAAGGACTGGCCACTGCTGAAGGACTGGCTCCGCTGGCCTGCAGAAACCCTGCTCCAGAAGCTGGGATTACCAAGGATGGACAGGAGACAACTAGGGACAGTTGACGCCTGGTTTAGGGCCAGGGGCCGCTCCTGCCCCCTCCCTCCCTGCCCCAGAGTTCGGACCACGCAGCACCTGCTGGCATGAGAAACATCACACATGACCACTGCATGACTGCTGAAAAAGTCCTCCTTACAAAAACAGAGGAGTGGAGCAGACCGGTGCCTGAAGGCAGAAGAGACACCCAAATGCAGAACCACAGACCTGGATCAGATTCACCTTTAATGTGAGACCGACACAGCTATCCCCGACAGCAAAAAGTATGATCCAATCTAATCTATAATGACACTGTGGAGTATTAGGAAGAAAGGTTCTAAGTTCAAGTCCGAGCTGCTCCAGCTAAGTGACTGACCACAAACAAGCCACTTTACATAACAACTTTATCACCCATAAAACTGATGTAAACAAGATTAATAGAAGAAGAAATTCTAGTAAACTATAAAAGACCATAAAAACATTATCAGTTACAAAAGCCTGTAACACCCCAGGGGAAAACAGATACTTACCTCCATAAATCTGATCCACACAGTGGAGTGTAATGTCATTTTCTCCTATAATCTTGTTCTTAAACTGGGTTTCCTGAAAGATTCAAAAGGGGACAACTGTGACTCCTTGCTGCGCGCTGGCACACACTTACAGACAGAGCACATCACCATTCCCCACGCGCACATTAAGGAAAAGGGACATGCAGCCACATGCCTGGGAAAGGGACGGGGAAGGGTGTGCAGAGAGGTGTGGTCACCGGCGTGTGGACCCAGGCAGGACAGGCCATCCATGGGCTGCTCCTGCGCAAACACGCCGCGCCCCCACGGTCACTTCGAGGGGAGCTGGGGAGTGGCACGCAGGTTGTGATTTCTCCACATAAATGCGAGTAGGTGAGTGACAGCTACGCAGGGAGAAAAACACCGAGGACTCGAGTGGCTGTGACTGCTGCCTTTTACAGGACTGGGAAGCAAGCTGCTACAGTGGCCCGCAGCCAGAAGACCACACTCTGAGACAGCAACGGTGCTGCTGTTTAAGAAGCAAGGGTGGGCCGGGACGGCTGCGTTTCCATCAGCGCATGGTGCCCTCCGAGTGGTGTGGCCAGTTCTCCCCTCACCACACTGCTCACTCTTCAGGAGCAGGGACAAGTCTAACAAGCACACCGCCGCCCAGTGCAGAGGAACCCAAGTTCAAGTGCTGTACTCAGCATCAGTTTCATAACTGGACTTAGTTCCCAAATTTAAGGAACAGTTTAGTATACAGAAAACAGGGGGCGGGGGGAACAGTGTATCTGGGAGATGTCATTCCAGTGAGTGGTAAACGCTGCAATGAAACACAGAAGAAAACAAGAAGTGTCGATCTAGGAAGGCAAATGCAAGCCGGAGTGACAGGAGGCATGGGGGAAATTTCTAGAGTGGTCCCGCACTGGAAGGAGACCCTGAAGGACAGCGAGCAGACTTGTCCTTTGTGCTTGTGTGCGTTGGGGTGGAGGGACCGAGCAGCTGGGGAACAGACGGGGGGGTGGCCACAGCGGCACTGCTCCCCCACACGCAGCCAGACGCATTCGGACGTACGTCGTTCTCCAGGGCAGACTCGTCACTGCCCAAGAAAGCGATCTTGAAGTCCGTGCAGACCAGTCTCCCACAGATCCCGCGCTGACATGAATCCTCCTGGACATACTTCAGGACGGTGCTGGCTTCACAAAGCAGCTGCTCACCTGGGCGAAACCAAAACAACCCCCGTTCGAGTCCTCAGGGAGCACACAGCATGCGAACGGCGAAAGCTTCCCGGGCCGCGCTCCCGTGAGGACCAACACACAGCACAGCGCAGCACTCGGCTCACGCCTTCCAGCCAGGCCGACGCGGCCAGACTTGAAGTCGAAGATGAGGCACCGTGGGGGCCACTGGCAAATGAGATCAATGGCTCAGGTATGCCTTCACACAGAGCACCCCTCCATCTTCTCACAGAGTAACAAGTTTCCAAAGCGGGGAAATGATCTCAGCTACAAGTGTTTTTATTACGTGGACCCAGGGGATGTCCCACAGAAGCAATACCATAACTAAGGGAGGGCAGAAAGGCCTGCCGGCGTGCTCCGGAATGCAGACCTGCAGCCCACCTTCGGGGGGAGTGGGCCAGGTCTCATCTGCAACTGCCAGAGGGGCAGGGCGTCTCCCTGGCCACGGGGCTGTCAAGCAGCTTCCTCAGACGCAGAGGCTGCCACCTGACCATGCTAACTCTGGCTCTGCGGACAAGGGCGGGAGGAAAAGGGAGGGCAGAGGTCTGCGGTGGGGGGGAAAACTGTTTCCTCTCGGTGTGTCACCTTTCCTCCTCCATCTGCAGGCACCCAGCCCGCATGCAAAGCTGCGCTTCCTGGAGACGGAGTAACTCTCTGCACAGTCAGAAAGACCAGGAGGTGGGGAGGGACAAGCACTCTCGGCTCCCCCAGAGCAGCAACTCGGGGATGGCTGTCCGGGTGAGGGCAGGAAAGGAGAAGGTTATGAGGGAAATGAAACACTAAGTGTAAATACTTTGCAACAAAAAAGAAAAGTAATTTCTTCTCCTCCAACAGACAGCCACTTTCCCCTCAAAACCTCCCTCTGGGTATTCCCTTCGATGTCTTCAAGTTTACGGTTTGACTCAAATGCATTTAGTCTGACCTTCAATATGTAAAGAGAACAGTCACAGACACGAAGACTGTCCAGGGACACACGTTATGACGCGGCTGTCATCTTCCAAGGGGTTAATTACTACGGAAGCACTGCAAGGTGGCTCAGTCACTAGGTCATCCTCTAGAGAGACCACAGCACTTGAGGAAAACAATGGAGTCAGGGCCTCATTAAGGTTTAAACAACCCCAGAAAAGGTGCCTCAGCTAAGTCCAAGGTGGAAGACATGTGAGCGAGGCTTCCTGTGCTTTCAGCTCCCAGAGTGAAACGGCTTTTCACGGCAAGTCATCTCTCCCCCAGGCCCGGCAAGCCGTTCTCAGCCTGTGCCACGCACCGGAGACGAGCAAGGGGCACACGGTGGCTACTGCAGTGCCACAGTCTCCGACCTGCGTGTGCACAGTCTTGAATCTCGGGAGCTGGGAAAGATCTTGGTCTATTCTAGGAAGCTGGGGCTCAGAGAAGTCAGCTGTGAGCTCACAGCTGCACACCCGGATGAGACCATCAAGTGACCCAGAAGATGGGGAAATGTATATAACACTAAGCTAAAAATAAAGTTATTCCCAGAACTTATAACCCAGGAAAAGGAAAGACAATAGGGTACATGGATTAAGGTTTAGATGTTTACTATAGGAAAAAGTCTTTCAAACTTAAAAATCTCTTTAAAAAAAACCTCATAGGCCTGGCTGGTATGACTCAGTTGGTTGAAGCATCATCCTACGGACTGAAGGGTCACGGGTTCAAGTCCCAGTCAGGGAACATGCCTGGGCTGTAGGTTTGGTGTGCAAGGGCAACTGATTGGTGTTTCTCTCTCACATCGATGTTTCTCTCCCTCTCTTTCTCTCCCTCCCTTTCTCCCCTCCCCTCCAAGATCAATGAGCGAGGATAAATAAATAAATACTTACAGGATTCCAATATGTTTACCAAATAAGGTGGATCAGCCAGAAATCTGTGCATATACATATCCTCCCAATAAAATGGAATAAAATAAAAAGTACCAGAACAAGCCCTTATTGTTTTGGGAAAATGTGCCTTTAAAAAACTTATTTTAAAAAGCCATTTGGGATTAGAAAAAAAAAAGCACGAAGAACTGAGTGCACCGCTCACAGCCCCACATACAAAGAGGACACACCACCAAGGAGTTTCTGTTTCTGAATTCAGACATGATTAAGGCTTGACTCAAGCCACAGAGTCACTCTCCCCCATCTGAAAAACACCCAAGCCACCCAGGCTCCTTGGTGCTAACCGCAGGGCAAAGCCCAGGCAGCCCTGGGATGGGCTGGGGGGCTGCAGCCCACCTGGCACTGGCGCTCAGATGCACAGGCACAGACAACAGGTGGGAAGCCTGGGAGGCAGCGCCAGTCACCGGCAGCTGCACTTGGGCAGTGGGAAGAGAGTGTGGGGTGCAGGGCTTTGTGGGCGACCAGGATTTTCCTGACTGGAGACCAGAATACTGGATGGGGCCAAGGGACGTGACCTAAAAAAGGCCTCATCTGCTCGTGAAAGCGGTGACAATTTCCCAGGTTTATTTTCATCTGCCCGGGGAGAGGAAAAGAAGGAAAATTCTTTGCAGATGTTGTAATACTCAGACCCAGGTGTGTCATTACTGAACTAAAGACCTTGATCCTTTGTCCCACTCATGACTGTTACATATTGTCTGGATGAACACAAAGGCTATATGGCCACAGCAGGAACGACATAATCAACGCTGGCTTTGAGCTGCACGTGAGGCTAACACGATGACCATTACCTGGCAACAAGTGAAGAGTTACTTCCTTCTCTGTTACTTCCTTTTCGTTTGTGTGAATTTCCTAAAAGAGAAAAGCATAGAGTAATATTTTTCTTTGTTTAGGGGCTCAAAATGAGTAACTTTAAGCCATGCTTTCAGAATACACACAAAAACAGAAACCCTCGTCAAGGAAGGGTCTTTTCTTTGACAAGCTAGTTACTGTTTTTTAAAAAAAGTATTTTTTAACTAAAGGGAGACAGAAAATTCCAACAAATTAGTTCAATATTAAACTAATTATTTGCGACCAACAACTATTCACTGTCCCAAGCAGGAAGAGAGGGGTTGGCACTATCTAAAAGGTCAAATGTCACACGGCAAAGCAAGACAGCTGGGAGTCAGAAAGCGAGGGGAAGACATCCCACAGAACGATTCCCCGCTCCCTCCAGTGAGGAGCAAGGATTAGAAGCAAAAGAATGTGGGTTACAGGGAGGAAATGGACTTATGTAAAGCCCTTACAGGTAAGAACAGGAAAATGTGAATGGTTCAAGTCAATACTCTGTAAAAAAAATAAAATAATAAAAATAATTAAAAATATTGGAGTCAGTATTGATCCATCTGCCCTGTAGTATACTAGGACCCAATAAAGACAGCTGGAACCGTCCTTTGCCCCTTCTGAGTTACCTAAGATCCCAAGACAGTGCCACGGGGCACAGTCATTTCTAAGAAGGAATTAAGGCCAGGTTCTGTGTCACTGTTTCTCAGTGAAAATCATCTTCAAATGCCTCCCTGTTGGGTTGGTGTTTATTGAGTATTCAAAGATGATCAGCAATCCTCAACAGTCACAAATGGCTGTCAACCTAACAAGAAGGTGGCACAGAGGGCCTCCTAATGCGACCTACCACCCATGAAGTATTCTCGCCAAACTAGCTAAGCTCAATCTGCTGGAGTGTCTGTGTCATTCTACCAATTTATGAGAAACACTGGGACAGAGAAACATGTTAAATGACACCACGGGGACACAACCAGGCAAATCCTGCCTCTGGAACGTTCTACAAGACACAACCAGTTTTGTCAACAAATAAAATTGGATTTCATTTATCTATTTATTTTGGCAGAAGACCCCGGGTGGTAGGAATTTTCTGAAATTGTTGATTCCATCTGAAATACGGCATCAGAAGAAACCTGGGTACGGCTGAGGCAGGGAGAGGTCAGACGGCCCATCCTGAGGCTGAAAGACAAAGTCACAGCTGGTTCAGAGAACCCGCTTGAGCAAGGGCTGTTTTAGAGACGCTATGATTCCATTCCGGGACGGAATCAAGTCTGCCTGAGGCAGTGCTTCGCAGCCCTGAGGGCGCCAGACTAGCTGGGGAGCCCACAACCTCTGTAGACTCTCAGGCCTTACCACGGGCTTGAGGAACCAATGTTTTCACGCCGGATTTTGCCGGGTAGAGCGCACACCCACGTTTTTGTGTGCACTATACACAGGATGTGGGCAAAAAGTGTGCATTGCACTCAGCAAAATACGGTAATTTAGGAATTCTCACTGAGAGTTTTCATCTGTCTTCGGCAAAGAAACTATATTAAAGCACAATTATTTTTGACAGGTCTATCATCTTTCTCAGAGGAGAGAGCAAAGCTGTTCATTAAATTCAATCGGCTGTTGGAAAACTCTAGCAATCATCTTGACTAGTGATTGGAATTCAGTCCTGACACCAACGCCAGCGTGGAGAGGGCTAGCCCACTGTTGTGCCTCCAGGAGTATCTATCATCTTCTGATGATAAAGAATTTACACCATCCAAAACCATCTGTAGCGATTCTTGAACTGGTTAATGAAATTCCTCTTTGGCCATCAGGAGACACCTTTTAGGGTTCTGTCCTACCCAGTCAGGGTGATAAACTTTTCTTGAGCCTTATGTGTCAGACACTGTTTAAAGGATGTTACACTTGCTCACTCACCGGACCCCGACGGCAAGCCTCTGGAGCAGGACTGCCGTGCCCACTGTGCTCTCCATCTCGCAGACGACAATGCCCAGCCAGCATGCGGTGGGGGTGGAAGCTGAACCTGGTAGTTGGCTCAGTCTATGTTCTTACATGACACCATACTACCTCTTCCATGAACGAGCATTCTGTCTCTCATTACCACGAAATGGTAATGAAGGCAAAAAGGAAAACCAGGACAGAAGGATGGGTGGATATAGCAGCCAGACCCACCAGAAACCAGGCCGAAGCAAACATCACTGAGGGTGCCCAGAAGAAGTGCCCGCAGAGGCAGGAGGCTAAAGGGAAAACCAGGAAACAAAAGCCACCTGTCCCCCGGAGTAGCAGCTGGCTACTACTCCTGCATGGGGCAAACTCTGGGGCTTCTTCCACCCCCTCGGAGAGAGTTGCCTCCGATGACTTCCTCCACTGGGTCCTCCAAGGCAGACACCTGACTGACACCCCAACCGACGCCGACACTCCAGAGTCCAAGGGGAACTTCTGACCCCCCACCCCCAGGAAAGGCGCCAACCAGGACTGCTCTGTGCAGGTCGTCCAGAGGGGACTCCACTGCTCCCCCTCACACCTCCTCCTTCCCCCTCCACGCCCGCTCTACCACCAGAGCCCATCGATACTGCCTAGTAAATGCACCTAGAATCCACACTGCTCTCTTCTCTTCCCCAGCAGCACCCTGGACCAAGCAGCCGTCACCTCCCACCTGGAGCACCGCAACCTGTCTACCTGTGGCTGTTCTCTCTCTATCCTCCACGCTGCAGCAGCAGTGAACACCTCAGAGCGCAGTGTGCTTTGCATTACTGGCCGGGTAAAGATGACGATTTAACCCGGCCTACGAGGCCTTCTTAGCCCAGCCCCCGCCTATGTCCAATCTGCACGTGGGCCGCACTGGCCTGCTGTCGCCCCCCAATACCTGCCACGCTCCTTCCCATCCTGAGTGGTTTCCACAGGAAGTTCCCTCTGCTCGGAACACTTCTCCTTACCCTCTTCGCCCTGTGAATTTGGGGTTTCCATCCGATCTCAGCACAAGGGACCTGTCTGTGTTATGAGGCTCTCACAGCCCCATGTACCTCTCCCTCCTAGCACTCAGCACAAATGCAATTTTGCTTCTGTTTATGTATTTATTTAAGTCTATCTCACCACCAACCTATAAAGTCTTCGAGGGCAGGCATTTTGTCTGTTTGTGTTTTTGTGGTTCCCTTTTTTTTTTTTTTTCATTCACCAAATAGCCCTAGAATCCAATACAGGCCTTGTACACAATAAAGGCTCAAAAGATTTTGTTGAATAGTTTAATTAATAATGACTTTAAATGATGAGAGTTTCTAAAAATACTCCAGCAGGGCCCAGAGAAACGTATGGAGATTTGGGTCCAACATCAGGGCGCGGCCATCAATGCACTGGCGTCACCACAGGTCCGTATGGTGGAACAGGAGAAGGACTGCATTCCATTAGAGACTGCCACGGACATGGTGTCAGTCCAGAAAGACTAGCAGTCGTGAAGCCTGTCCAGTAAAACCTGCAGAAGCGCAACAGCCGCGGATGGGCCTGGCCTCATTCCAGGATCTTGCAACCGATTCAACCAGTGACAGCTGCTTCTGTCCGATCCCTGTTCTCTGGGGTGCTGGGAACTTCCCAAACTGCCCCCGGGTTTCAGTGAAGGGTCCAGAGTCCCCTTAACCTTCTGCTCCTTCTGTCCCACTAACCTTCAACTCTGACACTCCTGACCACGCTACCTAATCAGCAAATGAAGACAATCTGATTTCTAGAAACTGTGGAATGGGATCTGAATACCCTACTGACCCCAATTAACTATCATGTTCAATGGGCAGGGAAGAAAAAAGGTAGGTTCCTTAATAATCAAGCAGAACTCGTCATACTAGTTACGCAGACAGACTTCTTTCTTCAGATGCCTGAAAACTAACTCATTTGAAAGTGATGCAAATTTTCAACAAATGCGGTCATTAAACACGGCCCACATGCTTTGTGTGGGGCACCTCTCGCCACTTCATCTGAGTTTGGACAAAGCTCGCTGTTATGGCACAAAAGAGTAGCAAAGACTACTGGCACTGGTCAGGGAATGTCCAAGTTTTCAAAACCAGGATGACCCAGTGGCCTGAATTCAGTTACAACAGCAGCATAAACATTAAGTGGAAAGTTCTGCCAGAGTGGTAGGATTGGGATTGGTGCTTTTTAATTAACTTCCACATTTACCTGAAATGTTATGGATGCTCCTTTTGTTTGTTTTAATTTAAAAAGGGGCTAAGGCCATGGATAACAAGTCTTCCAGTTTCTGCACATTTTGCCCCACAGATCCAAAGGAACTATGTCTCTTCGTGTTCTCACTCCAAACACCAACAACTCCAGGGGGTCCCACAGCGGCTGCTGCCCCCATGTTCCCTGAGAGCCCACCCGGCATCCGGCGCTGAGCCAGAGCCTGCGAGCGCCAAACAAGACATGAGAGTACCACCCACCCTTAGCAAGTGTGTGGCCGAAGGACTGTGCCTACTGGAACCCACTGCACACAGCTGGCCCAGCACCACAGGGCTGTTCAGCAGGTCTCTTCTCAGAAACATGCTTGCGAGCAGCACTGGCCCAAAGCACAGGGCTCCAGTGAGCCTGGGGAGCGCAGCCAGTGACCTCACGGTGTACGTCTGGGTACCCAAAGCTGCAAGATGACCGATCTCTAATACAGACCAGTTCAACAAACAGCTCCCAAACATCCTAAACCTCAAATGCTGAAGACAAAAAGATGAGTAAGAACTGACTTCTGCCATCATCAAGAAGCTCAAATAAAAAATAATAACTAGAACACTGGGTGATCAGGGCAATAACTACTAGAGCCTGCAAAGGATTATACCTCTATTCACCGTCTCATTTGGTCCTCAAAATGTTGTTAACTGCCCTCATCGTCCTCATTTTAGAGATGAGGACAATGAAGCTGGCCGAGGTCAGGTGAAGTGGGACTAGAGTCCTGGCTCACCTGACCAGTCGTGCTTACTCTCTACAGTACAGCCTGCCTGTCCCTGCGGGCCCCACCCTTCCCTGGGCGCTGTCTCCCTCCCCCTTGCCTTTCACGCACACTCTCGGAC